GAGACAAGACCAGGACTTTAAAGGCCGAGACCGAGACAAGACCAAGACCTCTGAGGTCGAGACCGAAACAAGACCAAGACTTTTAAAGGTTGAGACCGAGACAAGACCGAGACTTTTAAAGGCCGAGACCAAGACAAGACCAAGACCTCTGAGGTTCAAGACCAAGACAAGACCAAGACTTTGAAAGGCTGAGGCCAAGACAAGACCAAGACCTCCGAGGGTCGAGACCAGGACAAGACCAAAACTTTTAAAAGTTGAGACCGAGACAAGACCAGGACTTTAAAGGCCGAGACCGAGACAAGACCAAGACCTCTGAGGGTCGAGACCAAGACAAGACCAAGACTTTGAAAGGCTGAGGCCAAGACAAGACTAAGACCTCTGAGGTTCAAGACCAAGACAAGACCAAGACTTTGAAAGGCCGAGACCAAGACAAGACTAAGACCTCTGAGGTTCAAGACCAAGACAAGACCAAGACTTTGAAAGGCTGAGGCCAAGACAAGACCAAGACCTCCGAGGGTCGAGACCAGGACAAGACCAAAACTTTTAAAAGTTGAGACCGAGACAAGACCAGGACTTTTAAAGGTTGAGCCCAAGACCTCTGAGAGTCGAGACCGAAACAAGACCAAGACTTTTAAAGGTTGAGACCGAGACAAGACCGAGACTTTTAAAGGCCGAGACCAAGACAAGACCAAGACCTCTGAGGTTCAAGACCAAGACAAGACCAAGACTTTGAAAGGCTGAGGCCAAGACAAGACCAAGACCTCCGAGGGTCGAGACCAGGACAAGACCAAAACTTTAAAGTTGAGACCGAGACCTTTAAAGAGACAAGACCAGAAGAGACCTTTAAGTTGAGACCGAGACAAGACCAAGACTTTTAAAGGTTGAGCCCAAGACCTCTGAGAGTCAGAGACCGAAACAAGACCAAAGACTTTTAAAGGTTGAGACCGAGACAAGACCAAGACTTTTAAAGGCCGAAGACCGAGAAGACCAGACTTTAAAGACCAAGACAACCTCTGAGGTCGGACTGAGACAAGACCAAAACTTTTAAAAGTTGAGACCGAGACAAGACCAGGACTTTAAAGGCCGAGACCGAGACAAGACCAAGACCTCTGAGGGTCGGGACTGAGACAAGACCGAGACTTTTAAAGGCTGAGAGACAAGACCGAGACCACAGACCATCAAGACCAAATTAAGACCATTTTTGTAATTTCTTATATTTATTTGTATTTTACAGTTATTTTGGCACATTTATATCAATGTTTTTTATAAATCTATCTCTACTTGATCTGATTAATGTTCATTTGGGCTTAAAATAAGACAAGCAAACTGTACTGGACTCTGTGCCCCTTTTTTGGACCCTCACCCACAGTTTGAGAACCCCTTCTTTAATCCCACTTCCACTGGCACTTTACAGAAAACTGCTTCAAAGTTAATCAAGTGAGGTTTTTTTCAAATTCATAATATTTACAGTTACATTATCAGACCTCAAGACCGAGACAAGACCGAGGCCAAATGCGCTCGAATCTGAGACGAGACTAAGACTGTAAAAAAGCAGTCTCAAGGTCAAAACCAGACCAGGTCTTGGTCTCTAGAACTACGACACTAGTAACATTCCAACACGACTAAAAGCTCACCGTTTTTCGTACTATAGAACCTTTAAAACCCGCACTGTGAGCTGAACCTCAAAACAAATTCTGCAAATCAAATTTTTTGTCAGAAAAATAAAACTGGTTTCGAAATTATTCATCCCCCTTTTTGCATTCAGACCTTGTAACCTGATTTAAGCGCGGCTGCCTGGATGTTTCTCTGCTGTACGTGCCTGAAGGGGTGTCACACTCACAACCTGTTTGAACCTGGCAACGGAGGAATAATGAAGAAGAAGAAAAGGAGGGCAGAAAGAGGAAGAGGAGAATGAAGATGAGGAGGCAGAGGAGGGGGAAGTAGAGGAGGAGGAAAGGGAGAAGAAGGACGAAGAAGAACCGAAAGAGAGCGGAGAAAAGAAGAGGAGGAGGCAAGGGGAAAGATGAGGAAGAGGAGAAAAAGGAGACCGAAGAAGAAGAGGAAAAAGAGAGGGAGGGGAGGAAAAGGAGAAAGAAGAGTAGGCAGTGGAGGAGAAAGATGAGGAAGAGGAGAAGAAGGACAAGGAGGAGGAGAAAGACGATGAAGACGAAGAGGAGGAGAAGGACAAGGAAAAGGGGGAAGAGGAGAAAGAGGAGGAGGCAGAGGAGTAGAAAGATGAGAAAGAAGAGAAGGATGAGGAAAAGGGGGAAGAGGAGAAGACGGACGAGGAAAGGGGGAAGAGGAGAAGGAGGGGGAAGAATGAAGAGGAGGAAAAAGGGAGGTAGGAAGAGGAGAAGAAGGATGAGGAAAAGAGGAGGAGGAAGAAGAAGAATACAAAAAAGGGAGTGAGGGGGAGGAAGAGTAGGCAGAGGAGGAGAAAGACGAGAAAGAGGAGAAGAAGGACGAGGAAAAGGGGAAGAGGAGAAAGAGGGGGAAGAATGAAGAAGAGGAAAAATTGAGGTAGGAATAGGAAGAGGAGAAGAAGGACGAGGAAAAGAGGAGAAAGAGGAGGAGGAAGAAGAAGACAAAAAAGGGAGGAAGATGAGAAAGAAGAGTAGGCAGAGGAGGAGAAAGATGAGGAATAGGAAGAGGAGAAGAAGGATGGAGAAGAAGGACAAGGAAGAGGAGAAAGAAGAGTAGGCAGAGGAGGAGAGAGACAAGGAAGAGGAGGAGAAGGACGAGGAAAAGGGGGAAGAATGAAGAAGAGGAAAAATGGAGGTAGGAATAGGAAGAGGAGAAGAAGAACAAGGAAAAGAGGAGGAGGAAGAAGAAGACAAAAAAGGGAGGGAGGGGGAGGAAGAGGAGAAAGAGAAAGGAGAGAGACAAGGAAGAGGAAGAGGAGAAGAAGGACGAGGAAAAGAGGAGGAGGAGGAGGAGGAGGAGGAAGGTGTGCAGATGTGAGAGGAAGAGCCTCAGGTGCAGTGGGGCTCTGTGGCTCTGTGGCTCTGTGGCTCTGTGGCTCTGTGGCTCTGTGGCTCTGTGGCTCTGTGGCTCTGTGGCTCTGTGGCTCTGTACATCTGCACAGAGACGAGCTCTAATGAACCAACGCTCTGGATGTGGGACTATGGAAGCCTGCAGGGGACAGAGTCAAATGTTCTGTTGATCGACATTTATGATTTATTCATTCATTAAGATTGAATTGAATCAGTGCTGTGATCCTATAGACTTCATGTGTCAATGAATAACCCTCTCAGGCTCAAATTACATTTTAGTAACAGGAAAAAATCTGATATTTGGGGAAAATGATCATATGGAGTAGCAACATTGGATCATATGGAGTAGCATTGGTCCGGTGTGGTAAATTAACACTGAAGACTGAAAATAATATGAACGCTAACTTTATGTGTAAACCACTTTTCATAACAATGAAAACATAAAGCACAGTGTAACAGCTTTACAGAGGCAGAACAACTTCACTTTTTCGTGTGGTACCAGTGTGCGGTCAAAACTGTCAGGTATGAAAACAAACTCTTGGTCTGAAAAAAGAATCTAATAACATAAATTATCGGAAGACCAAATGAACCTCATCGGACTAATAATCTAGTATGAGGTAACATTACTTTCATTTAGAACAGACCTGGGCATTGTACAGCTCCCAGCCCACATACGGCCCTTTGGTTCACTCTGACCAGCCCGTTTAAGATCATCTGGAATTACAAAATAAACAGATTTTATCATTTTACCTCATGCATGGACTAAAGCCGCGTTGCTTTTATTTTAGAGGTGTTTTTAAAGTTACATTTTTTGTAAGGCAACCTCACTTTTTCATTGCTTAGTCATAGCCAGTGTTGGGGAGTAACAGATTACATGTACTGGAGTTACGTAATCAGAGTACAAATTATGAGTAACTGTATTCAGTTACAGTTACTGTTTCAATGAGCGGTAATTGGATTACAGTTACTTTGTTGAAATAAATGGATTACACAGAGGTATTTTCCTGTTTTCACATTTTGAGCTGGTTGAGATCTCAACCAGGTCTAAAACCAGGTCTAAAACCAAGACTAAAAACAGGACTAAAACAGGAATAAAACAGGACTAAAACAGGACTAAAAGCAGGTCTAAACTAGATCTAAACCAGGTCTAAAACCAGGACTAAACCAGGACTAAAACAGGACTAAAACAGGACTAAAAGCAGGTCTAAACTAGATCTAAACCAGGTCTAAAACCAGGACTAAACCAGGACTAAAACCAGGACTAAAACAGGACTAAAACAGGACTAAAAGCAGGTCTAAACTAGATCTAAACCAGGTCTAAAACCAGGACTAAACCAGGACTAAAACCAGGTCTAAAACCAAGACTAAAACCAGGACTAAAACAGGACTAAAACAGGATTTAACAGGACTAAATCATGCTGCATGGACGTGTCTCCTCATCTTCTATCAGTAATATTTTTAATACGGTTAAGGAAAATCTGGGCTTTTCTTTTTTTTTTTTAGCAGACAAAACATCTTATGTGGAGATTTCCTCATCTTTGCTTCTCTACAGCAAATCAAGTAATCCAAAGTATTCAGATTACGTTACTCACTTTAAGTAATTTAATGGATTACGTTACAAACTACATTTCGGGGTATGTAATCTGTAATCTGTAGGGGAATACATTTTAAAAGTCACCTTCCCAACACTGGTCATAACATAAACTCTTACCAGTCTTACCAGCTTGTCAAAACAATGATATTTACTGTTTTGTTTTTTGTTTTTTTTAAATAAAGAAATACAATTCATATTATGCAGAACTGAGTTAAGCATTTTGGTTCAACCCTCCACAATATTTTCTGTTTTTCAAGTGTCCCCATGGAAAAAATAATGGCCCACCCCTGATTTACATATTTGATGTTGACTCAAATTAATAATACGGTTGTAAATATGACTTCTTGATATGAGAAGATGCATATGAATGTGTTTGTGAAATGTTAAATGTTTGTTTTCGTTGTGGTCCGCAGGTCCCAGTGAGCTGGACTTGAGTCTGCTCGGAGAGTCCAGCTCTTCATTGGACATGGGCTGTAAATACGACCAGGTGAGAAAAGTCTTCACATTATAACAAATGTATGAAAAAAGCATCTTCAAAGACAAATCCCGGGTAAAGCGGACCCCCCTTGTGCTGAATGAGCTGCGTTTTCCTCGTGTTTCTTCAGTCCACGTACAACATTGAGTGCCACTTGATAATAACATTCATTATACTTAATTAGAATGAGAGGCACAATATTTATCCTGCGCTCTTCCCGTTTTAAAGTAGTTCTACAATCACATGTGAACCTGGGCTGCCCTTGCCTTAACCTGCAGACGCAGAACACAAGCTCATTCTGTTTTCCGATTTAGAACCAAAACACAAAATTGTCACATACGAGTAAATAAAGTGAGACATCGTGTCCAATGTTTTTTTTTGTAATTAAGAATAAAACGGCATCTGAATTCTTACCGGTAAATTTGATCTGAACATGTTTACCTCATATCTTGGGACATAGATAGGTCAAGTTTGTACAATTTAAAGCCAAAATTGTACATACAGTTCCTTTAAGACTTAATTTTTGATTAGGCCTGTTATAATTACACATTACATAAATTTTGAAGCTCGATATATCGCTACAGAGACATACTGTTATAAACAATACTACTGAAACTACTTTATGACACTGATACAATTATACAAGACAAGATAATCTCAGTAAAACCATTTTAAAAACTGACAACAGATAATTAACAGAATTAACCAATACGTAAATGGAGCCCGGTCACTTATTTAACCTTTCACAGCTCATATGTTTTTGTATTTCAACAAAAATACCCCAAATCTCTAAACATTGATAAAGAAATTGTACACACGACAACAGCTATTGAGACTCAAAATCTATTCCATGTTCCAGCTTTCATGTATTGGAGGATAAATCGTAGTAATTATTAGAGCCCGACTGATATATCGGCTGGCCGATATTATCGGCCAACATGGGCACCTGGAGACATATCGGTTATCGGCCGATATGCTTGCTGATATGGGCCGATATTTCACGTGGGCATGTTATACCTCGTTATAAAGCTTAGACTCTCTACATTCTGTTCATTTAATCCAATTTACAGACAGATAAATGTCCTAATATGTGGCTCCGCATCAGTATTTATCTACGGTGTAATTTGTCTGTGTCTGTGTCCGTACTGTCCCTGAACACACCACCAGAGTGACGTCACTTCACTCGCATGTGTTTGTTTACACCCGCAGCCGTGCGCAACACTGAGATTATTTTCTTTTTCGGACAATCAGTTTGAGTCTGGATTAAAAGGACATTTATTAGTGCAGACTTGTGATGTGAGGAGGAGCCTGTGTGAGCAGTGAGTGTTGGAAATACATCGACTTTGAAGCTAGTTTAGGTTTTGTTAGGGATTAGCTGCTGTAGCTCCCGCACATAAACAGGCTGTTTTCTATTGGTCTATTGTAAAGTGATTATATTGGCCGTATATTTGTTACTGGACCTGCATTGATATGTAAATGAGCTGTGAATAGACGTGTGAATGATCCACATTTATGCATATAATTAATTACCGCGGTGCGCACGTTTTTACGGCTAAAGGCTAATAGCGATTGTTTATTTACTAGCTAGGAGTTATGGGTCGGTCGCGATCGAAGCGGCTCTTAGATCCGGCTCTTTGAAGCGAACAACAGGAGCCTGCTTCTTATTGGGAGCCGTGTTTTCTCTTTTTCTCACTTTTTCTCTTCATGCCGCATGTAGACCCGTAGTTTGACAGCAGCAGCGGCTGAAAACGAAACTTTCAGAAATCTGCGTGTGCACAGGATAAAAAAAAGTGCATATTTGGCTGCAGTTCAGCATAAAATGAATAAACCAGGACTAATCTTGGGCTTGAGTGAAGGAGAGAGATAGAAACAGAGTCCCGACACTCAGTCCTGGTTCAGTTCTGGTTTAGTGCTGCTTGCAACAAAACCATCTCAAGAGTCGCTTGGGAGCCGAAAGAGCCAGCTACTTTAGTGAGCCGAGCCGGTTCTCCAAAAAAACAAAGCAAAACTGGAATACTCATCACTAGCAGTGACAGTAACAGTAGCTAGAATGTGATGCAAAAATGCCATTAGGCCAATCTACTATATGTAAATATGATGTAAAGAGTCAAAATAACAATAAATGTTGCCTAAATAAACCCAATTTAGAATCCACTAGAGCCAAACCTAAGTTTTTTTAATCAATTCAAGATTTACAGTGAATTTTTACATCACTAAATATATCGGTGATTATATCGGCTATCGGCAGCTCCAACTCCCATTATATCGGTTTCATATTGGCCACAACAAAATCCATATCGGTCGGGCTCTAGTAATTATTGTGAGAGACCTATGCATAATGAAAAAAAATGTTTACCGTATTTTTTAGGTCTATAAGTCGCTCCAGAGTATAAGTTGCACCATCCAAAAAAATGCATAATGAAGAAGAAAAAAAACATCTATAAGTCGCATTTTTGGGGGAAATTTACAAGTGTCTGGTATGTTAACGTCACAGATGAACAGTTCTTCAGATAAACTATAACATAAACAACAGAACAGAACAAGTTTACCAAACTCTCCATCTCACTCCAAATCACTAAATCCATTCAATTCTTCCTCCTCGGTGTCACTTCTGAGCAACTCCGCCAACTCCAACTAAATCTATCTTTTAGCCAGCCCATCCATCCATTTTCTTCTACTTATTTGGGGTCGGAACCGGTGACAAAGGGCAGCCCTGGCGGAGTCCAACATGCACCGGGAACAGATCTGACTTACTGCTGGCAATGAACACAGCTCCTGCTCCGGTCATACAGGGACTGGACAGCCCCCAAAGAGCCCCAAACCCCATACTCCCAGAGCACCCCCCACAGGACACCATTAGGGACACGGTCAAATGCCTTCTCCAGATCCACAAAGCACATGTGGACTGGTTGGGCAAACTCCCATGAACCCTCGAGCACCCGATGGAGAGTGTAGAGCTGGTCCAGTGTTCCACGACCGGGAAGAAAACCACACTGCTCCTCCTGAATCCGGTCTTTTAGCCAGCGAGTAGCTTTTTAGTTTTCTTCATTGCAGTTACAGTATCCTCCACTTTTAGAGAGTCCCTCACAAGTTTCTCACTCCAAACTTTCTTTCTGCTGCCCGATTACCATTTTCGGCTGCATATTTCACGCAGCAGAACAATGTCTCTTTCTGCAGGAGACATGCTCAGTCGAGCCAAGTGACAGTGGTACAGGAGTAACAGGAGCAGCAGATACTGACACACAAGTCTTTAGCGCCCTCTCACGGCTGCCAGTGTGAAAATAACAAACATGTGAAATTATATATTGTAAAATATAAGTCGCACCCGAAATACCCAACCCATGAAAAAAAGTGTGACTTATAGTACAGAAAATACGGTATTAAGAATGATTCAGGCTTAGGTTAGGGTTAGGACTTAAGTTTTTGTCCATGTTTTATTGTGGTGTATTAATAAAGTGGTACAAACAATAGACCAATCAGCAGCGAGGTTCTCCTGCTCCTGCTTCATGTGTGCAGTTTGTTTGGTCCATTGTATCAGGAGCCATTTAAAGATCAAACGTAGAAAACAAACAAACATTTTCAACAGTGACTCTTATTTCCAGTAGTGTTTTTCAGTCGCATATGCATTTAACTGATTAAAAATGTTTCTAAAGACCACTAGACCATTTCACGGAGCCCGCAGCCTTTTTGTCAACAAAATAAATGATTATTGCACAGAAAGTCATTATGCAAAGCACTGGCCACAAACTGAGATAAAGCGTCCATTTAAATTGTAGATTTGAGTTTTAAATGAATGGGACGACTCTGCTTTCATTACAACAAATGAGCACATACTGTTCATTTCAATAAATGATCACTTACTGCGACGACAGCTCTTCAAAATGCTAATTATGTAAATGTTTTCATGTGTTTAAATAATGGGACATAATCAAACACAGACTTTGGAGTTATTTATAGTTTACATTGCTTCAAAATGTGCTAACTTTGATTAAAACATAAAAACATGATTAGATTCGACCCACTTATTTGTAGGTGTAGATTATTTCAGTTTGTGGTTTTATTTAAATATTTATTCCACTAAAAAATTCACATTAGTATTCTCGGTAGCACTCTTGTAAATACAGAAGACAATAGACTGTTAAAAAAGTGGAGTGTGACGTCGCCGGTTCGTCGTTCTGCTCCAGTCAAATGAAGCTCACCAATGCCGGCCGTTACAGGAGTGAATTTGGAGTCAGTTCCATATTAGGAATTACGACCGCGAGTATCATAGCAACTAAAGAGCCAATCCGGAGCCATATTGTTAAAGGTAACGCCCCTTCCCGCCCGCAGAGCTGCTAATGCTATCGGGAGTGACCTCGAGGAAAGAAGGGCATCAGTTTAGTCTGTTATTAATGTTCATATCTTGATTTCAAGACCTTGGCTACGTTCAGACTGCAGGGCTTAATGCTCAATTTGGATCTTTTTGTTAAATCAGATTTTTTTGCGAGGCTGTTCACATTTCCAGTTAAATGCGACTTGTATTTGATCTTGAGTGTGAACTTTAAAAGTGTCACAAAAGTGTCCAGCATGTGCATTGAAGACGTCACACACAGCGAGTGTTTACAGAAGTTGCCTAAACATGGATGCCTCCTCCATTTTAAAGTTGCTGTTGTATCAGAGCCAGAACATGCACAGCTTATTTGTTTTAAAGGTTGTATGGAGGATTTTTTTGTTTCAAGTTGTCAATGATAGCATTATAGAGGTGCAGTAGCCTTGTAATTATGATGACCAAAAAAAAGAGAATAAAAATTCATCAACTCTGGACGTGGTGGGGCTAAACATTTGCCAATAGATAATGACACTGCCTCGTTATCTGTGAGCTGACAGGCTGTCAATCAATCTCCCTACGTTTCTAGCGTAACTGACTTGCCTGCGCCGCCGGTACGTGGTTTACGTACGCCTGTCACGCAGTCCACAGACGCAAGACGCACAGACGCTGTTTACTCCACCAACGCAACAGTTCTTAGCGGCTT